CAACATTGCATTTTTACTAACAACATATATGCCCATACTAGCAATGAACGGCAATTCTTTTGCTCTTTCATCATCAAGACCTAAAATTGTTGTATCAACCTAAAACAGGATCATCAAAGTCAGAACAAGGAAAACAGTAACAGCTTATAACTCATGATTGAAATACATTATGTGAAAATCTCATCCAAATGAAGATTGTAGTCTACCTTCATAGCTTTAAGTTGGTCCCCTTTCGGTTTCTCAGCAAATTCAATTATCCGCCCTTCTTCATCAATCTTCATCAGACCAAATGCAGTAGCTCGTTTTTCATCCATGGGCAATGCAGCTACAGTGATATCAGCATCTGTCTCTCTATGCCCTTGAATAAACTTTTCATAATCCATTCTATACAAATGGTCCCCAGCAAGAACCAATAATTCCAAAACATCATGCTCCTCAAACAACCACAGATACTGCCTCACCGCATCCGCAGTACCCTGTACGTTCAAACTCAAACTTTGGGAAATCAAAACCCAAGAACAAGGAACAACTAACCTGGAACCAATTTGGGTTCTCAGGACTCTGCTGAGCAGCAAGAACCTCAACGAACCCTTCATTCTTGTACCCACCCATGTTACTAGCATATGCGCGGGAGAGGTGGCGATTGAGAGAAGCAGAATTGAACTGGGTGAGAACATATATTTTGGATATATTACTGTTCAAGCAGTTGCTAACAGGAATATCAATTAGCCTATAATTGGCTCCTAATGGAACAGCCGGCTTAGCTCTCTTCTTCGTTAGTGGGTAAAGTCTTGTCCCTGCTCCGCCTCCCAAAATAATGCCCAAAACACTCTGCCAAAAATATATACATGTCAAATTTACCAAACCTTTCATCAAAATGTATAACAAATAGCTAAGGCCCTTTGAGCACGTTTCCAGTTACCGGAGCTATCGAAGCACAACGTGTAGAGTAACAGCGAAAAGATATGAGAGAAAATCAGACAAAAGGTATGAGAGAGTGATAGAATGATAAACAGAAGCTTACTCGACTAGCGTCAGGGTCGAGACATGTCTGCGAGTTCTGGGAATCGGAAACGGCTTTCGGTGAAACGATCAATGGTGTCCGTTTGAATTGACGGGAAGAGATAACCGTTTTGGAAACGAGCTTGTCACCAGAAAGAGCGGAAGCCGAGAATGATAAGCTACGAGGAGCTGGAGATATACAGCTCGAAGATGAAATGGAACAAGCATTGGAAGAGGAAGAGGAAGGGAATTTCAAATTAACTATTGAAGCCATGCTCGGAATTACTTAGCTTAGAGAAGGATCTGAAATTGAATGCGAACAAATACCCTTCAAGAAGGAAGATCTGAAATTGATGGAAAGTCAGGGAATGGAACGACCTTGTTCAGTCGTACTGGTAAGATTACGAGTGGGAAGTCAGGGAGTGAATATCTGTTTCCATTTCTGGAATTTTATTTCTATTAAATTTTGTATTTTTCGACCAAAAAATCTGTATAATCGGTGGTTGTCATTTTACAAATAAAGAAAATTATAATTATTTAATGAGAAAATAATCTCGTGACCAAAAATATCTTATAATATACGATTTTAATCAATATTTTTTGGATTTGCCAAAATACCAACTAAATCGCAATGCAATCGATAATTCGCAACGCGATCTCCAGTATCACAAATCAGTTTCCAAATTCGCAACGCGAACTTCGACTATCGCATTGCAATTTACATATTCGCATTGCGATAGTCCAAGTTCGCGTTGCGATTTTTCAAATTCGTTGCGATAGTCGAAGTTCGCGTTGCGATTTATTCCAAATTCATTACGATAGTCCAAGTTCGCGTTGCGATTTATTCCAAATTCGTTGCGATAGTCCAAAATCGCAACGACTGGTGGTATTGCATTTGTTTCTTAAGAATTTTCTCTAAAAATATAGTATTCACGCGGACGTGTCGAAGACACGTATTACCATTACCATTACCATTACCATTACCACGACCACGACCACGACCACGACCACGACCCGAGACGAGACGGTGGCGGCGGCGGCGCGCGAGAGTCTCCCTTGTTCTCTATCACTCAACAGGAAAATGGGAAAGCCAAACCTTAAATACCATTCCCAATAGTGTTTCCAATACTATGTGTGATTGAGCATTACCAACACTTGTTCCCAATACTATGTGGGATTGAGCCTTAAATAGTGATATTATTTTTGAATATTTTGCTTAAAATTGCAATAATCACGATTGATTGTAGATTGACTTTTAATTATGACATATTTAATCGTATAATACTAATGCAATTGTTTGCTGATTCAGTTGTTTTAAGGTGCATGATTGTTAATTGTTTCCTGAATAATCACATTGTATTGGAAACAAGTGTTGGTAATGCTCAATCCCACATAGTATTGGAAACACTATTGGGAATGGTATTTAAGGCTTGGCTTTCCCACTTTCTTGTTGAGTGATAGAGAACAAGGGGGACTCTCGCGCGTCGCCGCCGTCTCGTCTCGGGTCGGGGTCGGGGTCGGGTCGTGGTCGTGGTCGTGGTCGGGGTTGTGGTCGGGTCGTGGTCGTGGTCGTGGTAATACGTATCTTCGACACGTCCGTGCGAATACTATATTTTTAGAGAAAATTCTTAAGAAACAAATGCAATACCACCAGTCGTTGCGATTTTGGACTATCGCAACGAATTTGGAATAAATCACAACGCGACCTTCGACTATCGCAACGAATTTGGAAAATCACAACGAGAAGATAGTTCAAGTTCGCGTTGCGAATCTGGAAACTGATTTGCGATACCGGAGATCGCGTTGCGAATTATCGATCGCATTGCGATTTAGTTGGTCATTTTGGCAAATCCAAAAAAAGTTGGTTAAAACCGTATATTATAAGGCATTTTTGGTCACTGAGGTTATTTTCTCTTATTTAATATAATTCTTATTCAACATAAATTGCCTAAAACATGATTATTAACTTTTAATTATAACTTCTTGTGATTACAAACTATTTTAATTTATTAAAGCATTTTTATTGTTTTATAACTAATAGCACTAGACTCAAGAGTAAGTATTGATCATATTGATTCAATTGAAAAAATTGAATGATTCTAAATTTAAATGAATTTTAAATATATATATATATATATATATATATTCATTTTGTATGTATAAGTAATACTTATAATATTATTAAATAAATCAGATATCATCTAAATATACTTATATATTTGGTAAAATTATTCAAATAATATATTTTAAAAAATATTCTTAAGATAATATATTCCAAAAATTATTTTTTGAAATAAGGTGATTTTTACAATAATTATTGAAGACATAAGAAGTACAATGCATCTGCAATTCAACTGAGGTGTGTCACAAAACGTAATGTTTCTTTACTTTCAAGTTTCAAGGGTATATCGCACTGACTACAGTACGTCTTCACTCCCATGACACTGACTACAGTGCGTCTTCACTCCCATGAGTGTGTCGCACCGACTACAATTCATCTTCAGTCAGTCATGCTTCTTTCATCCGTGAAGCTACAACATGCATGGAAGTAATAATAGTACCATTATCGATCACAAATAATACATTAATAATGTTTGATTGGTGGGTGTATGGGAAATTTTGTAATATATATAAAATGTTATATGAGGATGGATAATTGGAAAAATAAGAAAAGAAGAGGGAGCAATTGATAGAGGACATATTTGAGAAGGAAAGAACAGAAGATTGATAAATGAGCACAACTGCTCCCTCTGTCAATTGCTCAATATTTTCTTCTTATTTTCTCGGTTATCCACGCTCCTATAACACTCATAAATTAAAAGATTTTCACCCACCCACCAATCAAACATTATTATTGGTGACCAATAACGGTATCATTATTGATGCCATGCATGCTACAACTTCACGTGTTCACGTGTGAGAGGAGCACAACTTAAGATGCACTATAGTCGGTGTGACACACTCGTGGGAGCGAAAATGCACTGCAGTCGGTGTGATACACCCGTGAGAGTGAAGACGCATTACGTTTCATGCGACACACCTCAATTCAATTGGAGACACACTACTCTTCATGCATCTTAGACAATTATTATAGCAATCATCCCATTTAACGAAATAATTTTTGGGTGTATTATCTTTAAGAGTTTTTTAAAATATATTATTTTGGCAATTTTCCCATATATTTAGTTTTGTTTTTTAAAAAAATCAAAAAAATATTAATGATAGTATAAATAAATCAAGAAATTGACTGGAAGAAAGAATTTGTTAAGAACTGTAAGTGAAGGACTGAATTAAATAAAACATAAAATTTAGATATTAAATTATAAAAAGAAGTAATTTGATGTAAAAGAAGAATTAAAGTTACACGTGTATTCTTAAATAATTGAGTAGCACAGGAATCAAATTTGATCAAAAGTAGAGTTAAAACGAATGAGGAATAGAAGAAACAAATAAATGAGGGATCAAATAGTAAAACAATCAAATTATTTAACTATAGATCAAAACTACGTATTTTGGTTTTTCAATTTTTTTGTTATTTAAAATTTTCAAACTCAAACTTAAATTTCGAACTAAAAAATCAAATTTGAATAATTTAAAATTAAAAAATTAATAATTTATTCGAATCAAATAACGTGCATCTTCTCCCTATCATTAGAAGAATGGTTGTGGACCAACATTGCATCTCATCAATTGTTGAGTTTGATGGTATGTTTTCTTGAAACTTTCTATTCTCCTTCGTGATATGGCATGTATGGAAACATCGAAACGATTTCGTCTTCAACCACACCAGGACTCATTACTTTACGGATTGTGTGGTTTATGGTCTGATATGAATCAAAACAAAGTTTAGGGACTAAAATAAAAAAGTCAAATTTAGGGACTAAAAAGTTACTTTATCTCTATATAAAAAGATCATAGTGAATTTATTCGGACTACGAGAGATCACTACGAAACCAATATGATCAGATTCCAACAGCAAAACTAAAAGAACATAGAAATCCGAAATCAAAGCACATAAAAGTTGTCTCAAAACTCGATGAGAAAAAAAATCAGCTGCAGCAACCGCCTGCCGGAGAAGCTAAATCATCTCTACCACCCGACGAACCACCGCCAGTTTGATGTCCAAGTTTTATACCATAAGACTGCACCAAAGCAGAACTGAAGATTAACAATGGTTCAATTTGTATTCAACAATTCCCATAATGCCGCCTTCAAAACAGCTAAACTTCTCCAGCATCCAACAATTTGTCACTCGAAAAACCGGAAAAGAAAGTGGCCAATCCGATTTCGTTATACTTAACTTATCGACATCTTACCAGTTATCACAAGAAATGCAAACCAATTTCCAACAAACTGCAGGGTAAGCATTACAGAACTAACCTCGTTAGCTATGTCAATGACTCCGTCCTGAATCTTCTTGTAGATATTGGCAGTCGTGCTTATGAATGCCTGCAGTAATTTCGGATTATGAATATCGAACGGGACGACCAAACGCGAGGAATAAAATAACCTTATTTATACTCGTTGTCTATAAAGTATTTCCAAGCATTCCTAAGCTTGACAAAAGTATTTTATAATCACCTCTTCAACATTTTGAGCCGTTTTCGCGGAAGCCTCCATGAATACCAGCCCATGTTCTCTGGCAAACTGCTCGCCTTCCTCCGTGCTCACGGCCCTTCTGTGATCCAAATCGCACTTGTTGCCGATAAGCATAACGCTCATGTTAGCATTTGCATGCTGCCTTGCATCCTCCAACCAGCTAGCCAAGTGATTGAAAGTCTCCCTCCTGATCATTATTCATTTATGCTCGCAATGAATGCTATTATTGCAGCCAACAGAACATGTGAAACTGTTTTGGTGAACAATATATACCTAGTAATATCGTAGACTAGAAGTGCACCAGCAGCCCCTCGATAGTAAGATCTCGTAATCGATCTGAATGACTCTTGGCCTGCCTGATGAAACAAAGAAAATTCATCATCCACAATAGAAAAGAAACATGTTTCATATTTTAAATGGCTGAAGCATGGATTAAGTGAGAATCAATTATGATGGATATAGGCATATAGCAATCAACAATTAGAGAAATGTCACGAAAACTTCGGAATCATCGATGGGAGTTTGCTACAGAATAGAAAGTTCTGGTGCACTAATCTTAAATTACCCTACTTAAAGAGCATTATAACACCTATCTTCTTCTATGACAGCAATAACCACTCCTACAAACAATTGTATCATGCTCTGGCCAGCCGGAAATACAAAATTCCGAACGTATGATATACCATTTGGATACTTTGTTAGAGAAAGACCGTCCAATATAACAACCTAAGTTGAGAAGTAAGATCTCAAGAACACACACTGACACATTATATGGGATGTTACTTCAAACTAAAACATTCAGAAGCTAAGAAAAAAGGGGGTAAGACAAACCGTGTCCCAGATTTGAAGCTTTATTGACTTGTTGTCAATGGCGATCATTCTGGCTCCGAATTCGACACCGATGGTTAAATCATGAACAGGCTGAAACCGTTTGTCGGTGAATTGCAAAAGAAGACATGATTTCCCAACTGCTGCAGAAACAAAAAAAGGGCTTACTCATGTTAGAAGCACGTAGCAGCCATTGCATACACATTCTGAGGGATGCAAATGCAATTTCACTCTTCATTCAACATTTGAAATACTAACACATTGTCATGATTGATAAAGGAACTAATGGCTTAATCAGATTATACAAATGGTGACAATGCACCCTTTAGCTCTGTAATTGGAAAGCACAAGCTCACTAGCAATGAAGTCGACAACTGCCAATAAAATTTTCCCAGAAAATTCAGATGACGTAACCTAACAAACCAAACTTTTCAAATTTCGCATAAAATTGAACTTTTAAGAAACAATCAGAAAACATACGAGAAACAACCCAGATATTCTATTTACATAAAAACAAAATCTATCAAGTTAGGAAACCATGGAAGATCTCGTACCAGTATCTCCGATGATAATGTACTTGAAAAGGTAAGCGTACGACATTGTTTCTGACCGTAGTTGTACAAACCCCGATTACCCAAATTCTGTACTTTGGTTATGTAAAGGTATGATCAAAATAAAAGGAATTAAAAGAGAGTAATGATCCCTTTCTTCCCCATTTGTGTTCTTCCCTCAAACATTGCAATTCTTTATCTATTAAAAGAATAGAAATTAAAAAATATCCCTACACTTAATTAGATTTATCATTTAAACATTTGACAATATTGTACGAATAATATTCAACTTGGATACGCCAACCTTTTGGTTATAAGATCTCTTTCGCAATTTTTTTTAATATTCCTTGAACATAAGACCGTAAAAATATAAACTCTTAACCTCGTAAGCACTAATTAATATTAGTGGGTTTTATAAGCTAACTTATTGTACAATGTATTATGACTTACGAAGAGTCATTCAAATTGTCTCAAATATAATTAGATGTGTGTACCATTGATTCGTATGATTAAAGAATTATATTAATTTAGTTTAATATAAAAATTAGTACTTAAACTATACAAAAAATTGACTTTTGGCGTCTAAAGATTTTTTTGTTAAAAATATGTATTAACGTTATATTTTTAAGTGTCTGGACCATAACCATCGTTAAATTTGGACGTTATTTGACACGTATATACACATAAAATTTTAAAAATATTAAAAAACACTTAATATTATATTTTAAAAAACCAAAATTTATTTCCTTCACCGTCAATCGACCGCCACCGGTTTGTAGTCCTCATTGTTGTCACCGTCAAAATTGTCTTGCAACCACGATCAAAATCCAATCCTCCATCCACCGTGAAATTACGCGGGTCCTTTTAAAAAACGCCGCGAAGGGTCGTCGAATTTTTAGGTTTTCCATTGTTGTTGTCGGCAATTTTGACGGCTTTGACTGTCCATGGTTACATGACCACCACAATTGAGTTTTTTCATCTTGCTCCTAATAAAATTCAGTCGGTGATGCACATGCACATGCACATGCACAATCAGAGGTGAAGGATGGGAGGGAGAAGAAAGCAGGGGACGGGGAAAGGGACGACGCAAGGTTGGTTTTTTTTTTAAAAAATAATCTTTTCTAAAATAATATTTATGTTTTAAAACAATAAGAAAATATAAATGTGATATATATCACTTAACAACTTTTTAACGATAATTATGATCCAGACACCTAAAAGTGTAACGGAGAAAATGTTAGACACCTACTTTTAACAAAAAAAAAAATCTTTAGGCATTTGAGTATAGTTTAGGCACTTATTTTATATTAAGCCTAATAATTTTTTTAAAAAAATTATTAAATATAAAAGAAAATCAATTTTTTTGAAAAAATGACAACTGGATTTTATTAATAAAAATAATGGAATGAACCAGAATTACAACGCAACCAAACATAAAGAAAAAATTATAGACAATAGCCACAAAAATACTCATATAAAAATAAAATATTAAACCTAAAGATATAAAGAAAAACAAAATCTCCAATTGAGAATAACAATCAACATCAAAAGAACATAATAACCTTCATAAAAACTCTGTCTCTGTTGAATGAGACGCTTTACGAAATGATAAGTGAGTGGTAAGCGAACCAAATAATTTGTCAAGCTGTTTTGCTACACAATTCTAATTATATTGGCAAACAATCTTTTATCAAAAAAGGGATCTAACTATATGTGACCACCAATAAATCAATCAGAAAATAAATATCGTAATAATTTTTGTACGAGCACCAAAGCGTCGTAAAGGTATGCAAAAAGCACACAAAAAACCATGAGAATTGTGCCCCATGAGTAGAGAAAACGCGTGTCGCATGAACATAAAAATGTTTGACAATGACATATATTCATCCAGATGTCTATCATTACAAACGTTACAATAGCAGAAAAATAAGTATATAAACTATACCACTTTTCCAAATAGGTGCTCAAAACTTTTTTTGATTCATCTAAGTGCCAAACATTACAAGCGTTATCACTTTAGGTGCATCGGTTGTGACTCGTGTTACATTTATATATTTTAAAAAAAATAAAAAGCATAAAATTAATATTTAAAAAAACCTTAAAAATTTTAAAATCTGAAAGTAAAAATAACTCAAATTTCTTATTTTAGTCCCCTTTACTCCAACCATCGGTCATCTCTAACTACCTATTCGTCGACGAACGACCATCCATATGTCGTCGACCACCCACTAACTGGTCTAACCCTTACTATCATCTTAAAACCCATAAATTTTCAAACCCCTACACTTCAATCCCTAATCCTTAAAATCTCAAATACTCAATCCCTTAAATCTTTTTTATCGATCGTGGAAATCGGTTGTTTAGCTGGCTGTGATAGCAGGCCATTTGGCCCTTCGGTTAGTCGTTAGGCCATTGGAAAGCAGGGGAGGGAGAGGGGAGACACGGGTTGGGGAAGTTTTATTTTATTTTTTTAATAATATTTTCATTCAAAAAAATAAAATTTCAATATTCAATAAACGTGACACTTATCACTTGACGATATTCTTTAACGCTGTTACAATTAAGACACTTAAAGCGGTAACATTATACTTAGATGATTTAAAAAAAAATATGGGCAACTATTTAGAAAAAATAGTATAATTTAGACACTTATTTTTTAATTAAGCCATATAAAAGAAATAAGATAACTAATAATCACTAACGGTAGATAATCAACACTAAAATTAATGCCACTAGTTATTAAATAAAATTCAAATAAAAAGAAGATGATGATACCAAAACATTGAGAGAAAATTATATCAGAAAAAACTTTATGAAAAATCAATTATTTTTATAATCTAAGGGTATACGAAATTAAAAGTAGTAGTTTAATGGGTAAATTACATGTTTAGTACTTAAACTATCAGCTTTAGTTTATTTTAATATCTAAACTTTTAATTTTTTAAAATTATACCTAAAGTTTAATCTTTATTTTATTTTAATATCACGTCGTTAAAAATTTAATGTGTTTAATATCTTAACTATCAGTTTTGATCCGTTTTAATAATCAAACTTTAAAAAAAATTAGATATTAAAACCTATTATAACTGATAATTTAGATACACGTAATTTACCCTAGTTCAATTTAAGTTTCCACCATACAGCTGACAGTTAACAAGCAGTAATCCACGTGTTAAAATATTACCCACACGTCATACCTATATATCCCGGAAATCTGGAAAGCGGGGAGCTTTAGTGCATTCAGAGGCTAAACACTACTGAAACATCATGTCTAAAAAATCTAAAGTCTCGCCAAAGCTTCCATGGAATGTTCGGCTTTTCGTTTCCGTAATGTCATTTGGCGTCAATATGTGTCGCCGCTCCAATTTCACTGTCAATCGAAATCTTATGAGCCTATTCGACCCCAAATCCCCTGCTTCCCAAAACCCCGTCGACGGCGTTAAATCATCCGATATCGTCGTCGACAGTTCCTGCGACCTTTGGTTTCGTCTCTACAAACCCACCAGAACCGGCACCGATTCTACTTTTCCAGTCATTGTCTTTTTCCAGTCATTGTCTTTTTCCACGGTGGGGGTTTTGCATTCATGGCTCCCAATTCCAAGCCTTACGACGATTTCTGCCGACGACTTGCTGGAGAGTTTAAGGCGATTGTTATCTCCGTCAACTACCGGCTTTCGCAGGAGCATCGGTGCCCTACCCAGTACGAAGACTGTCTCAAAGCATTGAAAATCATCGACGATGTGAACCACTGGTCGGAAGGTCTTAATGCAAACCTGAAACACTGCTTCATCGCCGGAGACAGCGCCGGAGGGAATTTGGCCCATCACGTAGTCGTCAAAGCTAATGAACACAAGTTTCGCAACTTGAGACTGATTGGGATGATAGCAATACAACCATTTTTCGGCGGAGAAGAGAGGACCGAATCCGAAATCGTGATGGAGGTAGCTCCGTTCATTTCAAGGGAGCGTTCCGATTGGTTGTGGAAGGCGTTTTTGCCAGAAGGGTCAGACAGGGACCACCCGGCGGCGAATGTTTTCGGGCCGAACGGCGAAGATATTAGCGGCGTGGATTATCCGGCGACGATAGTGGTCGTGGGAGGGTTGGATCCGGTGAAAGTCTGGCAAAAGAGGTATTACGAGGGGTTGAAGAAAAGTGGGAAAGAAGCGTATTTGGTAGAGTATCCGAATGCCATTCATACATTCTATGCTTATCCTCAGCTACCGGAGACATCTTTGTTCATGAAAGAGACCAAAGATTTTATCAAGAAGCGACAGCAACACTTCACGTGAAACCTCAAGGTGAAACAATTATTGTAAAATAAAGGGTCAACTTGATGGGAAAGAAATATTATTATTATTAGATAAAATTTTATTTATTGTTGTTGTACTTTTGAAAAAGAAATTAATTACACATTCGGATTTTATTTGTATTTAATATAGTTTTGAACTTATAAAAAATTCAATTTAATCTTTTAGTCGATTATTTCTATAATTGATCGTGATATTAATATGATAATCTATAATATTAATATGATAGTCTATTATTATTAGATTCAATTTACTTTTTATTTTTCATTAAAATTACAAAAATCAATTTTTTTTTCATTTTTGTGACCTCGATACTGGCAACACAAATAAATAATTTTTTATTAATTTATTTCATATGAGTAAAAAAACTGACAAGTACAATTAAAATTAATGGATATTTAAAGTCTCGTGACTTAAACAAAAAATAAATTTTTTATTTTTCTTTCATATAAAATATCATATCAATTTAGTTATTCTAATGGTTAAAAATGGTAAAATCAACGAGATAATGTGTTGAAATTTTTTTTTCACGAGATAGTGTTCTCGCCAGATTAATTGTTCAGATGGGGTGATCTCTACAGTCCCCATATAGGTCGCCATGCACGCCCAGCGACCTACCAGGTCGCCATGCACGCCCAGCGACCTAGGTAAGTCGCCATGCAATCCATGCAGCCCCCAAAAGTCGCCATGCACGTCCCAACACGCTGGGCATCCGAGGCCATCCGAGAGCATCCGAGGCCATCCGAGAGCATCCGAGGCCATCCGAACGAGCTATGCGAGGGCATCCAAGGGCAACCGAGCGAGCTATGCGAGGGAATCCGAGCAACCGAGCGAGGGTAGGTCGCCATGCA